TGGATTTCGTCATTCATCTGCTTCTCTGCCTCTTGCTCGCGCCGCAGATAGACAACCGTCGACAAGGCAGATCAGCCAGTCTGTGTAATCTTTGTCGTCGGCCTCGCATGCGCCTGCAATGGCCTCCTCGTCGAACGGCGCGGGCGCCAGCCAATGCCTGAGATCATTCGATATTTTCTCGTAGTCCTCTTCGAGATTAAGGGCGGCATTGAAAATGTTGTAGTCTCGGTGTAAGTCGACAGACTGGCCCCAACGCTCAACCGCGGAAGGTAAGCGAATGCGGGAAATATGAGTCTTGGCTATCTTGCGTCGAGAGCGCACACGTTCACTACGAATAGCATGGCCGCTACAGGCGCCGTGTGCATAATGAGGCTTCTGCAAGTAGAGAAGGTTGGATTGTGACTTACTGCTCACTGTGGTCGTATTTGTAGTTGACCATTTTGCGTCTGGCTGGTCGACTGTTGCGGCTGCAAGGGCTGGAAGAGCGTCATGATGGACGAAAGGAAGATGAATCGGAATGACAGTGTCACATATTGTAATTTGTTGTGCCCTTGCGCAAAATATACAGGGCCAACTTTGAGAGTGCTAACACAAAAAGCAGCACAGGTACCCTGGGGCATTGGACAGCAGTGGGTATAAGTAAACACAATAGGCATGCAGGTAGGCGATCGAGGGGGAATTCATTATCAATGTGACCCGACCAAAGGCACTGGAAGGGCATCCACGGAGGCGTCTCCGGGCATTCCACTGTAGATAGTCTACGCAAAACGAAATGTAGCTGCGGATGGGAGATCTAGAGTAATCCAGGTTTCATTGTGACCCGATCTCGACATCCTACCATATACCCGATAAGGTAAGAGACGGCGTATTCGTTCGTCAACCTTGCAAGATTTGCTAAATACATATCTACAAATCATCTACTACAGATAGCATTCCTATACCCTCTTGCCATCTGGCATCTCCCTCAGTCTTCCGGGTGGCTTTTTCTTCAGTACTAGCAAAGGCCTCGAAGGCCTCGTTCGTCGGCACCCATTATCCACCCATCGAAACAGGCCGCCGGCAGAGTACTGGATGAAGGAGTGTCGCGTTTCTGCTTCTCCAATCGGTGTGTTAGAGTGGTGGACGGCGGCTGAAGGGATAAGGACGGTCGACCCTGAAGGAAAGCGAATTACAAGGCGCAGCTCCCAGAGTATAAGGTAGCCTCCTTTATCTGGATCAAAATTACCCATTGCAGTGACGGCGCACCAGCCCCAGGCTAGGTTTCCGTAATCAAGGTGGCGACGGCTTATAGCGCGACTGAAGTTCAAGGTGCATGCAGCGAAGGGGCTGTGTGGGTGAAGCCAGCCTTTAGACAAGGACGGCTTCCACGCCAATAGGGCTGCGCGTGTGCTGGCGTAGTAGCTATAAAGCATGGGTGCCCACATCATCATCAATGCTGCGACAATCGTTAGAAAATGCGGCCTGCAATGACGATTGGCCTACTTGTAGTAAACCCTGCAACTCTGGAGAAAAATTGGTGTCGGAGAATCTCGTTGGTCGTCTGAGTATTCGTGCGGTTTTGATGTAAAATTCCGGGCTCCTAGAGAGGCCGTAAATGGGCGCATGTTAATCTGTAAAAGCGCTCACCGTCTGGCCGCCGCCATGGGAAACGCCTCTGGCTATGGCCACAAACTCAGTCTGTGCACGACGGTGACGGCGCTTCTCGGCGGGTACTTTCAGGCCCGGCACCTTCTGATCCATCAAGGCGCAGGCATCACGAGTAAGGTCGGCCCAGTCCTCTGTGGCCCGCGGAATTCCGCCAAGAACCGCAACGACACGACGCTCCGTGTCAAGGATAGGGATGGCATGGCTGAGCGAACGTCAGTTCGGGTAGATTTGCTAAAGGCGGCGGGCGGCCCGGGACTTACCGTCCATCCCAAGGAACAAATCTAAAGCCTTTTTGGCCCACCACCGCATCCACCACCTCCTGTGTAACAGGCGAAGGCAGCGGCCCATCGGGAGAGCTGCTTGGGCCGCCTTGGAGGTCAAGTTTGGCGTGGCGATCGCCGATCCACCCGGGGCGGGAGTGAGGAAAAGCTTCTGCATTGGCGGATGTTTGCAGCGACTGAGGTATTGCCTCCGCCCTTCGCTTGGCCTGGACGCGTTTGAGCCTCGGCAATGAAGTCGCCTGGCGCACGGCTTCCCGTCGGCGCGCTCGCCGGACATTGGACTTGCGCGTGTTGCGGTTGGTACTGCTGACGGGGAGGTCGTGCGGTACCGCGGGAAGGACGGTTGGGGTTAACGTCGGGGAAGCGCTGGGGCTTGGCATGGGCGTCAGCGGCCCGTCAAATAGGTCGCTGAATGTCGGAGCGTCGATGGAATCAGGGTCCACAATGCTTTCGTGTGGCTCATTCGGGGCATCGTGTAGCGTTCGCAGCGGGGGGGAGAGTGAAGCAGAGAAAAGGGGGCGTGGATCGCGTCTTGCTGAGGAACAAAGCCGGAGAATTCTTTGCCGGAGCGTGTGACGCGCCGGGAGCGGGGGACGGCTGAAATGTTTGAGTGATAGTTAAGGTGGTATGTGGCAGGATAGGCGGCGCTTGCTCGACGGGGGTGCCACACGCCGAGGTCCAGGGTCGGTCTCTCTTTGTGGGCACGCACCGCAGGCAAAGGTGGCGAATGTCAAAAGGCGGGAGGCTCATACCTTCTGTGGAGCTCATAGTCGTCGCGTATCGTACGGGGGATGGGCGACGTAGTAATCAAGAAGAAAAAAGATTGGAAAAATTGATGTGATTACGTGGACATTACGCAAATGATGTCACTCTTTGGCTACGATATGCAAAGGACGGCGGGGGAAGGTAAAGTCGTAAAAACCATCGCCGCAGAGGCTAAGGTCAACCCAGTCGGGATACACGGAGGAGATCTCGTCTTCCAGGGCGTAATCACGACGGGGTGCTGAATACATTTTCCTTCCGCACTCGGGGCATGCCCAACTAGTTACCAGATGCATATAAATGCAAACGTAGCAAGCACTGTGCTTGCAATTGGGAAACCTGTTGGGAATGTCTTGACGGGGTCGAGACTTATAAGAGATAGCGCATACCAGACTGGTCGTGACTTGACTGCCTGGCAGAGCACGCATTTGTATATCGGGAGGACGTCTGGAAGCGCGGGTGGTCGGGCGGTCGACCAGTATAAACTGTCACGGGTGGGGCACCCTTTGGAGAAGTCGCGTTGGCCTTCAATGTCGAGATTTGTTTGCTTGGGAACCGCTACCTGGCCTGACCCGCCTTGAGTGAAGTGTTGGAGACGGTCTGCAGTCTCTCTTAAGCGGCGAGCTGCGGCGGTATGAGGTTTTTGACTCAGAGAAGGAAAGCCACATACTTTGGCCTCGTTCGCTCAAGATTCGGGCTTCGGTTTCTTCGCGCAGAAGGGCTGCTGATTGGTTAGCGTTGGGCAACAACCATGACGTTTGGGCGAAGTAAATTCACCTCGCTCCCGCCAGTACATGTACTGGGCGTCCATACGAGGCCGTTTCTCTTTTTGTTTTGATGGTGACTGCGAGTTGGGGATCAGCGAGGCGAAAGGACGAACTCCACAAGTGCTTACTCGTCTCGACGAACTCGACTTCATCCTCCCAGGACTCAGACGCTCGGCGCTTCTTGGACAGTGCGATGGGGTCTCCTAAGCCTCTGGCCGCTGCGTTGAATTGATTGGGGTCCAACTCGGATTCATGGAGGGCGGAGGGCTATGACTGCGGCCGCGTCGATGGAAGGGAAGGGACATGAAGGGAAGGAGTACGCTGTCTTGTGTCGGGCACCTCAGATGCAAAGGTTGAATATTTCTTGAAGTTCACCCTCGCTAATCGCCTACCTCGCTACGAGGACATTGGTAGCGAAAACATTGCACCTAGCCACACTTGGCAGGAACAACGTCAATCTGTTTGTATGTATCAGAAAATGTTTAGAATGCCGGTTTCCATACTAATACTATTTCAATCCAAGGCGCTTTTTGCGTTTCTATCGACAAGCGGGACGACGCTCCAAGTTTACCGCTGCTATCCGAGAATGAGTACAAACAGGTTCTGAGTCTTCGTCTCCGTTTGATGCCTACGGTGCCTCTGAACCGACCTGTAGATTTTCCGGCGTCCACCAAAAGCCAAGTACTCCCGAAACTGTGGGGTCCCAGCACTTGCCGCGGTCGTTCGAGCTGCCAGTGAACGCCTCTCACGAAGCCTCACAGCCACGAAGGTAGTCATACTTTGGCGCCGTATCTTACTGACGTTTTTCCAGTCTTACGTTGGATTTGAATTGTTGCGGCCAGACAGACGGGGAGGGTGTGGAATCTGGATGGACGATGATGCTCAAATCAGAGCAGTTTAGACTGATCTCGCGAAAGTCAACACAAGGTCGCTAACTAAAGAAGTGTCAAAAATGATGCTTTCTGAGTGCCATGAGAATACTTACAGTGTCCGTATAAATCAGTCTTCGACCACTCAACTTGACCCAAACCTCCCTACGATCTGCAATGGATTCAAGAAAGCCAGTTGAACCAACCGCAAGTCCGATTCAGAATCTGAAACCGTAGGTTGCGTTAGTATGCCTTGTATATCTGCTTACTTCTGCTAATAGACACCGAACGATTGCTGATCTCGCTCGTGGGGAGAACTACTGCAATTCCGATTTTATCGGTCTCCATCGTTTGGGTGTGGCAGCGCCCAACATTAGCTACGATTATGGCTGCGATTGGAGTGAGTGACGCGACAGTATGCCGGTGCGCGAGCTCTTCTGACCGGTTCCTCTCAGTCATGCGTGCTCATCTCGCGAGTGTAAACCATTCGAAGACGAACTTGCTGCGTGTGGAGGGGCAAATTGTAGATAAGCAATTTGTCGTAAAACGTCGTGTATGAGGGGAATGTCATCATCCTGTCACTTGTCACACGTGCTGTCATCATTTCTCTCCGCTGGACAACGAACCCAGACGACCGCTCGCTCTGAGGTAGGGTTTTCCCATTCAACTGGGTTATGGCCTCATCCAGACCAAAGTCCACCTTCACCTTCGAAACTTCCGTCGCCAACCCCTCCGCCGACCAAGGATTTCATTATCGGAGCGACGGCCGCGCCATCCCTTCGGTCTCCAACGTCGCGTCAACAAAACGAGCGAGACTAGACTCGTGTGAAGAGAGTGAAGACCCATATGTCGACTGGGTCCCAGCGAATACGACCGACACCGAATATGCGAGCCTGGCTTCGACTTTTACCGCTCACTCTGTCTATGAGTATTTCATTGAAGACAGTGAGGTGACCAAACGCAAACGCTACACGAGCTCGGTATGTTTTGGGCTGCGCTAGAACAACTACTTATCCTTCTAAAGGATGACCCCATGAAATTGTGGCGGCAAGACAAGCACGTCTTTCTGGACCATCTTGTCCGGCAGGACGGTCTAGGGAACCACCTCGCTCAACCTCAGTGTGCCCTATGCCACGCGCCCGTATGTGGAAAACTTGACACGAATCTTTCGCTGCGACCCATGTGGACGACATCTACAGTGTTTGGGCTGTTTGGAAGAATCCCATCGACGACAGCCGTTGCATCGTGTCAAGGTGCGTGGCAACGACCAACGGCAAGGAGAAAGTTCCTAACGTTGACTAGGAATGGAATGGGTCGTATTGGACGCGCGTTGCCTTGCACCAGCAACACGCCAAAGATTTCTCGCCGAGCAGCCTGCAATTTGTTTACCAACTGGGTCATGGCGGCGAGCCCTGTATACGCCCAGCATCAAGCGAGCCGCAGACCATGGTGGTTCTTGACGTAGGGGGCGTTTTTACCTGCCGCGTCAGGTTTTGCGGCTGCGAGCGGGCGCTTGGACAAGACCCCATTGCCCAGTTGATGAACAATGGCTGGTATCCAGCAACCACCATCGATCCCGCCACCTGCGCCACGTTCGAGGCCCTTGAAGACTTCCGCCTATCGAGCGTGGTGGGGAACATAAGCGCTCATGACTACGTTGGCAAGCTGGAGCGGCTTACCGACCCTACCTTGTTAGGAACTACCCCGGTTCGTCTTTTGTTCTGAGAGCTTACCTTGTTCATCGCACTAACGGCTCGCTAGGACCGATACAAGGCTTTTGGCCGTATGAGCCGACAATATAGTTTTCTGAAGCGGGCCAAGCGTGCGGGGGTCGCCCACGATATGAGCACGATGGATGAAGTTCCGCCCGGGGGTATTGCTGTGCCTTGCTGGGCTTGCCCCTCTGTCGGCTTTAATCTTCCTGAAGGCTGGGAGACCTGCAGCAAAGACGACGAGTATGCTTTTTTGCCCATCGCTACCGCCCCTTCTAACCCTAATCAGGTTTCTGTATTCTCTTTTGCTGGCGCTCGATGCCAACTTCAGACTCAAAAATCGAATACGCACCAACGAAAAACACGACCCATCACTTGGTCCTGGATGGGGCTACTTTGTGGAGTCGGATGCGTATAAGGAGCATCTGCGCGATTATGTCGCAGAGGCCGACGTTCGTAGCCCGCTTTTGCGCGTCTACTATCTGTCATGCTTACCGTTCACGCAGGTTAGCACTTGTATCGCGTTTGCCGCGTTGATGCAGAAGGACACCCGCCTTACTACAGGCCTGCGAGTGTCTGGGGTAGGAGGCTGTGTTTGTGCGAGGCATGGCGTTGTTCGGGCTCAAGGTCTAGGCGATTTGCAGAAAGGAGAACGGTTTGTTAATTATTTGCCCTTTAATGGCCGCTGACGCGTGCAGCAGATATGCAAATATGGATTACATCCTGCTCCATGCTTTGGGGGACACCCGCGTTAAGCGTTTGGTACTCTCATATGACATTGCATGTCAGTGGAAGCAGCGCTTGGTCTTTCGGGTCTCCGACATGGCTTGCTCGGCTGGATTTCTACCCGACCTAAGCAACTTCACACTGCAGTTTGCGTTGCCCGTCTGGCACGCCGCTGCGCACGAGGTCAACTGCCAGGCGGCGATGTCCCTCAGCCATGCACATGGGGTTGGCCGCACTGATGGCGAAGGTATCGAGCGGACGTGGGCAATCCTAAATCCCATCAGTTTTGCAACGAAGGAGATGGGGGAGGGCAATCGTCACGATTCGATTGAAGATAAAGTGGACCACATCAACTTTGAGAAGAACGTGGGCCAAGGTATCAATTAGCATTTGCACTTTTACTTGCCACTGACACGCTCGGCAGGTGATGCTCTCGGTCGAAAACTGATCATCGCCGTCGCGGAGCGCGACACACAGATCGCAGAGTTTGTCGATATCGACCGCGGCCTGGAACCCGACTTGCGGCGTCAGTGGCGAAGTATGGTCACCAACTGGGTCGCCGACAACAGCTATCCAAACCCCTACGTAATGCAAGGGGGAAAGGATGGTATGCTCTATGTTTCAGCCAACTTTAGGCTCAATGTATGACAGCTGGTCCGTCTGAGGCTCAAGTCGCTGCCGATCTCAAGAAGGCTGAGCTCGAAGACTTGCGTCAAGGCAGGGAGGGTGTTTACGAAGGCCGAATGACAGCAACGGCCTTCATCAAAGGGCTTCTGCAGCTTGAAGACCAGAAGTAAGCTTGCGAATCTCGTGTTTCTAGCCCGACTGAGCTCTTTCTTAGACGACGCATTAGACACGAAGTGCGTGGTAAATCGGCATTGACGGCGGACCGTGCCAGCCAAATCGATGAATTACGTGCAACATTTTTCAAAAAGCTCAAAAACGTTCAACAAGAACAAGAGGTCTACATGCCTGGGGTATCGAGTCTAAGAGCGGCGGAGGAGGAGCGACGAGACTCAGAGCTACCCCCTTCAAAAGCTGAAGATACGAAATTGTGGCTTCCCTCGGACCTGACGGAGGTACAGCGAGTCTGGGCCTGCAAACGTGGCCTGGCCGAGGTTGAGGCCAAGCTGCGAGAAGCCCAGTGCGGGGATGCTCTGGTGAAGATTCGCGGCCATCTTTATACCAAAACTCACTTAATTCACACACGCAACGCAACTTCGGTGGGGCAAGTTGCGATACGCGCTCCAGCACACTCATCGACCGTGTTGGAGATCGAATCGACCGGGAGGTAGCGAAATATACGGAAGCGGGCAGCCCTCCATCGTCTCAAAGGCCCAAGCGCTGCCCCTCACCTGAAGCAACTCACCAAGAGCGATCTGCACGTGCGAACCGAAACAGAGAGCGACGCAAGGGCTCGTATCAGGCTGGGTCGGCTGGGTGCATCACGAAGAGGCAGGAATGAGCCTTCGTCATTGGCGGCGGAGGAACGCTCGGCGGGCGTGTCCTGGATCTGGAATACTGTTCGACCTGAGGATGACGAGAAGGGGGCTACATGAAGGTACGCCGGTGTGACTTCTGGTTGTGCCCGCCTCAATTTTTTTTTAGCGGTTCGCGTTCAATGGTCCAAAGCGCTTGCCCGGCGCGACCGCTGGATAGAAGAGGTTCGCCTATTGCGTGAGGAGAGAACACGTGTACCCGGGAGCCTGATTGCAATAGAGGCGGTTGGATGAGCCGCGCATCGTCCCGCACCGACGTGGAGCCGCGACTGGCCGCGGGCCTGGAAGCCTACGCCAAGCTCCAGGCTGTGCTGCATCGCCAAATTGCAGAAGGTTTCTACGAACGTTGGCACATTGTTTGCAGAGCTGCACTTCGCCCTGTGCTCAGTCTGGACGAGAGGATACATAGATTGGTGCTAGACGGGGGATCAAGTGACGACCTGCAGCTAGGCTTGGAGTAGCTACCTAGCTAGCCTTCCTATTTTAGTATCTGTATATATATTATGACTGGAAGAATCCGAGGGATTAGATGCCGATATTCTTATGGACTGTGTGACTGAGCTCTATGTCCGAGTGATTGAGTGATTTCGAGTGATGTTCATGATGGCCGTGTGATGATATATGATGGTTGATGATGGCTTGATGTTCTTCCGTAGCTTGCTATCCAAGCAGTGAGGGTGTAGCTAGGGGAGGCTGTAGCTAGCAATTCAGGAAAGCTCCTGGCTAGCTGTAGCTTTGCAGCTAGGGCAAATACTACAGCTACGGGTGCGGAAAACACCGTAGCGGCCTCGGTCGGGACCTCTTGCGGGGCCTCGGACCCCTTTCTCGGGTGGAATCCCAACGTGAGGAAGAAGGGCGAGAATCCCGTTGAAGAGTTAACCTTGTCATTAAACGCGAACTCTGCTAGGGAAAGCCAGTCTGACCAATCGCTCTGCTGGAAGTTGCAGAATGTTCGAAGGTATTGCTCGACCTCCATATTCGCACGCTCTGTTTGCCCGTCCGTCTGTGGGTGATATGCCGATGAAGATCGAATCTTGATTCCCAGCAATTTGCTCAAGTCGCTCATGAAATGCCCGATGAACTGCTAGCCCCGGTCGCTAGTTACCTCCTCTGGGAATCCGTAATCTTTCCAGACGTGATCGCGGTATAGTCGAGCGACTCCTTCCCCGGAGATGTTTCCCGTGCATGGGAGTACGCGTATCCCTTTACCCAGTCGATCTACGATTACGAGAATGGCGTTGTACCCGGAGGATTCGGGTAGTTGAACGATCAGATCGATTGATATGCGCTGCCAAACTCGAGTCGGCACGCTATTCGGGACCAAGGTTCCTACGGGGCGTCTCGGGAATATCTTCGTTCGTTGGCACAACGGGCAGGCTCGTCGTATGCCTGGCAATCGGCTTGAATGGACGGCCACCAGTAGTTGCGGGTCGTCAGCTCGAGGGTTCGATGCCACCCGGGTGTCCCACGATAGGGATGTCATGGTGTTGCCGTAGCACTCGATGCCGCAGTCCCATAGCCGGGGGTACGTATACCAGCCCGTTCCGAGTCTTGAAGCCGTCGTGCTGTTCCCAGCCTTCCGGTTCTCCGTCTTCCCAGAGCTTGAGGACCTTTTCCTCAGTGGCCGATTCGGCCCGCCGGATCGAGTCCATCAGCCCGTCGCCCTCCGTATGCTCTAGTGTCAGCATAGCGCGGATCGCGTGTTCCTTGAATAGCCCCGCAGGAAGTAGGACGATGTCCTGATTATCTTCCTTTCCGTTGTCGTACCCGTTTCGTCGGGATAACGCGTCGGCCCGCCCGTTCGTTTTCCCCGGTTTATGTAACAAAGAGAAGTGATACTCACTTAGTTCGAGAGACCATCGTGCCTGCCGCCGGTTCAGTTTCTTAGCCGTCATGAAGTATTCCAGATTTTTGTGGTCGGTCCAGATTTCGAACGGCTTATCTCCCCCGTTCTGAAGATAATGTCGCCACTCGGTAAGGGCCCGCATGATAGCGAGCATTTCTTTGTCATGGATGTCGTAGTTGCGCTCGGTGTCGTTCATAGCTCGGGAGAGAAATGCGATCGGGACCCACTTCCCCTCCTGCTCTTGCGAAAGGACGGCCCCGGTGGCGAAATCGGAAGAGTCCGCTTCGACCCGCCATGCCCCGTGATCCGTAGGGAAGTGTAGTACGGGTTCATCCGTGACCCGGTCTATCAAGGTCTGAAAGGCCTCCTCTTCTTCCGGTCCCCATTTCCATGGGCTGTCTTTTCGGGTCAGCCGGGTCAGTGGCTTGGCGTACGCGCCGAAGTCTTTGATGAATCGTCGGTAGAAGTTGAGGAACCCCAGGAAGCTTTGAACCTCTCGCAGGTTACGAGGCCGGGGCCATTCGCGCACGCCAGCGACCTTGATCGGGTCCATGCGAAGTTGCCCATTCCCGACGATCACACCAAGGTATTCAACTTCGTTCCGCTCGAAGTCGCACTTGTCCGGTTTCAGGTACAATTGATTGTCCTTCAGGATCTGTAGGACCTCTTTCACCGTTACGCGATGTTCGGAGAGGTCGCTAGAGTATATGAGGATGTCGTCCAGGTACACGATCACGCGACCCTGGGAAATCAGGTTGGAAAACAATTCGTTCATCATGGATTGGAACGTGGCCGGGGAGTTGGTGAGGCCGAAAAACATCACAAGTGGTTCGAATAGGCCCCGATTGGTAATGAACGCGGCTTTCTCCTCGTCGCCTTCTTTTATGCGGATGTTGTTGTATCCCCAACGTCGTCGAGCTTGGTGAACCACCGGGCGTTACGTAACTTATGCATGATGTCCGATATGAGCGGTATCGGGTATCGGTTTTTGATGGTGATCTCGTTCAACTTCCGGTAGTCCTGTACGGGCCGTAATTTCCCGTCCTTCTTCTTGACGAAGAAGAACGGGGATGCGTCTGGGATTTCGAGGGCCGAATCCGCCCGGTTGCCAAATGTTCCTTGATGAATGCGTCAAGCTCTTTCTGTTCCTCTCCTGATAGGGGAATGCAGCGCCCTTTGACGGGTTCGGCGTCTGGGTGTAGTTCAATGGCATGGTCCCACTTCCTCCGTTCCGGGAGTTTGTCGAAGTCCTGTTTTTCGAAAACCTCTTTGAATTCCTCGAGGTAGTGCGCGGGTACGCTCTCCTCGGTGGTTCGGGGCTTCTCGGCAGCGTGGGCGGCGGCGGCCAGTTTGGTGGCCACGCTCTGCATAGCCCGGATGTGGGCGGGCGCGTTCGGACCTTCGTCGTAAATCCGCGTGACGAAGAGGCGATCCCCTTTGCCCAGGGGTTCGTTGTCCTCTTCGTCCCATTGTTCCAGCAATCGGGCCCGCTTGCACTCGGGCGGGCATCGGGTGAAGGCGATCGCCCCTTCGCGCCAATCGATCACGGGGTTGTGCTTCTTGAGCCAGTGATGCCCGATGATCACGTCGCTGTTCCCGGTATCCGTGATGGCGAATGTCAGAAGTTCGGAGTGATCTTGAATGGTGACTCGTAAGCGGGTAACGTGGGTGATCGCCCCGTCGGGCGTTGATCGTCCCGTCAGCGTTGTACACTGGGACTGGGTGCGGCAGGGCTTCGAGTTCCAGTTGCGAGTCCTCCGCGAACCGTTTGTGCATGAACTCGGAGGTGGCGCCACTGTCGAGGAGGGCGTCAACCGAGTACCCGCGGAGGTCGTTGACCCCTTGAAGGGTGACGGCTACCCGTGTAGCCGTGGTGCCCTCACTTTTCCGAAAGGGGGAGCATCTTGCAGTTGTCGCAAGGCTTCGGCTACGTCGGGGGCGTACCCCGTTCGTATGAACTCTTCTAGTTCGGGCCCGTTTTCGGCTCGGCGGGCCGGATGTATCCATTGTTGTAGTTTCGCACGAGCCTTCTCGGGCTGGTCTCGAATTTGGGCGACAAGCCTCTCGGCGCTGGCCGCGGGCCAACTTTTCCAGCGGGCCTTGGAGTGTCTCGTGTGGGTTTGTGCGGGTTCTTCTTGCGGGCGGAAACGGTGGTTTGCGGGGTTTGTTCGGGGTTGGTTTCTACGTCTGGTCCCACGTATCTCTGGATTGGCAACACGGAATATCGATTATGCGGGTTGTAACTAGAGACACTTGTGGTATACGTCGGCGGGGGCGTAGGTTTCACTCGCGACGATCGCCAAAATCCGCTTTATCCGCGTTATCCTTGACAAACTCGGAGAAGATAGCCCGGATCTGGTTTGCCGATACGGCCCGGTTCGGGCACATCCGACTGATGTGCCCTTCCTGGCCGCAGTTGTAGCAGCGAGTACTGCGGGCCGTAGCGGGGGCCTGGGCCCGGTCGATCTCCATAGGTGCGGGCCCCGTCGAAGGTCCGGCGACCGTGGTTGCCCCGTTTCCTCGGGGTGCGGCCACGGCCGGTCCGGGCGGCGCTGATTGCTGCGTTTCGGGCCCACCCGTTGAACGGGTTGCGGTTGCTGAGCCCGCTCTTGGCGGGGGGGGGCCCGTCGGGGGCGTTTTGGCCCGAGGGTGGTTAACCTTGTGGCTTTCGTCGAAAATGCGGTAACGGCGGAGTGCGCCGTCCTGCTTGATGGCCTCTGCCTTCCAGGCCTCGTAGGTGTCGGGGAGCGTGTCCTTTCGGTAGACCGCGTTCGTAACGCCCGGAGCATACAGTTCTTGGCAACGCGAATAAGGTTGACGTCGTCGTAGTGCGCGACTTTGTTGAGAGAGTCGAGGACCGTGAAATAACTAGTTGCGTCCATGTCTTTGGTCTGGACGAAGGTTTCCATCTTCTGCTGCGCGATTTCGGCGTGAGCTTCCCCGCGGAAGGCCGCGATGAAGGCTTTCTCGAAGCCTTCGTGACGTAGTATAAGCTGCGGCGGTGCGGAGCTTCATGGCTTGGGAGACGTTTTCCTTCCACGTGACCGCGTTCCCTCCTTTGATGTAGGAGAGTGCGTCAAAATCTTTCGTACCTCGTCGTTATAAACATTCGGGTTGGCTTCAAGGCCAACCAACAATCGGCCAGGAAGGCGTCTACTTCGCTGGCGTCGCCCGTGAACTCCTTAGGGGGAGAGACGGTCACTCGTGTGTTTCC